TGCCGAAGGCATTCAGTGCTATGAGCCCAAGGCAGTGGGACCCATTACAGCATCCCTATATGTCTATGCATACAAAGGTAGCTCCAGTTCTGATCTTGCAGGAATGTTCTCTACCAGTCAAACAAAAAATGGGTACATAACCCATAATGTCACTCGGGGGGGTACCAACACCTCAGTATGCTTTGATGCTTGCCTTGCCATCAGCAAAGGTCAAGGTCCTAACGACGCTGCAGGAGTTACCTGCGGCTCACACAGCTGGCAGAGATCTTATCTACAGGAAAAGAAATATCTCTTTCAAAAAGTGTCCGGGACTAATGTGGGGGCCACCACTGTTTACAACTACTGGTACACCCCACCTATTGACTCTGCTCAAGTAAGAGGCCCTCAAAATATTAATATCACTGTTAAATCAAGCTCTACTTCATGTACCACTGACAAATGTAATCCCATTTGCTTCTACACTCACTCACCTGAATCTAAGGGGGTACAATATCGTTTTTTAGGTCTTGATTTTAGAGACATGTTTGGATCCTGGTTCCCAAAATTGCCTGGTTTGCAAGCTATTGTAGCGCTCATTGGTATGATTGCTGCGGGATGTGTTGTATTGCCTTGTGTATTACTCATCTTTGTACGCACTATTTCTAACAGTTTATCCCTCTTGGCTGAGAAAAAAACCACTGCGCAGGTAATGGCTCTCTGGAATCAACAAAAAACTAACACATATGAACCACTGCCATCCGAAAATGAGATAGAAGAGCCAACCTGTGACAACCCAGACAAGGACAAGATGTTTGTGATGGTTGAAGAAGTCACGAACGCCGTGGATAACATCAGCATGCACAGCACTCTTGCCTACAGGCCTGACAAAGACTGTTGTTGGGACTAAAACACTCCCTGTCTCTTAAAAAGGAAAAACAGGGGAGATGTGGGAACTATGATTCTTTGTTCTTTGTGTATGTGCTAGGACAACGGAGCCTTCTGGTAGTTGGCTGGAACACGGAGCAAGGAGCAAGGACAAATTGTTGCCATTTCTTAACCAGAACTGTAGCAAACTTAAACTCTGAAGCCTTGTATGCTTTATGCGAATGATCAGTGCATGTTGTGTGATGTAATGCATTTGTGATAGGACGTTAACAAAATTGCTACGTTAACAAAGACTGCTTCTAATAAAAGAGGGTTTCGGAGTTCTCTCTGCGCTCTTATCCCAAGACAACTTTGCAAAGTGTCTTCTTTTCATGAGAGACCACCACACTAATCTACCCCAGATACCTAAAGAGATTGAAATAATGTTAGAAAGCAATATAACGATGATGGAGTAAACTGAAGCACTCAAGAAGCAAAACAATGGAAAGGCACCAGGCCCAGATGGACTTCCAGCAGAATTTTATAAAACACTACAAGAATCATTGAACCTTCCGTTGCTAGAAGTTATGAATGAAGTTATGTTAAAGAAGAAGATACCTAAATCATGGTCAGAAGCTTATATTACACTTGTCCCAAAAGAGGAGGCCGATCCATTACAAATCAAGAACTATAGACCTATTTCCTTACTAAATGCAGATTATAAAATTTTTGCTTCAATATTGGCAGAAAGACTTAAAAAATACTTAAACAATTTTATCCATCCTGATGAAAGTGGATTTCTGCCAAAGAGACAAATTAAAGATAATATGAGAGTAATCTTGGACACTTTGGAATACTACGAGGCACATCCTGAAAAACAAATGGCTTTGATATTTCTAGATGCACAGAAGGCATTTGATAATGTGAATTGGCGATTCATGTTATTACGGCTGGAACAGATGGGCTTTGCTAAAAAAATTGTTCAAGCAATAGAAGCTATATATCATAAGCAAACAGCAAAGGTAATGATAGAGGGAGAACTGACAGCATCTACTGATATAAGAAAAGGAACAAGACAAGGGTGCCCACTATCACCTCTGTTGTTTGTGTTAACCTTGGAAGTGCTAAACAGAAATATTAGAGAAGAAAAGGATATAAAAGGGATGAAAATTAAAAAGAATTTAAGTTGCAAGCATTCACAGATGATCTGGTTTTCATTTTAGAAGACCCAATAGAAACAGCATCAAAATTGATCGAAAAGATAGAGGCATATGGAAAGGTGTCTGGTTTGAAAATAAATAAAGATAAGACAAAGATCTTGACAAAGAATATGCTATCAAGACAGAAGGAAGAATTGGTGGATCTATTGAAAATTCAGGTCACGAATAAGATCAAATACTTGGAGATACATTTGACAGCAAGATGTAGTACACCAAAAGAGAATAATTATATCAAACTTAAGCAGCAGATAGCGCTACATTTGGCGAAATGAGAAAATTTACAACTGTCATTAATAGGGAGAATATCAACAATCAAGATGAATATATTACCCAGAATTTTATATTTGTTCCAAACAATTCCAGTTAGGCTTGAAAAGATTATTTTGAGGATTTAAATAAAATTGTGTTGAAATATATATGGCAAGGTAAGAAAGCAAGAATAAAGTTAAAACTTTTGCAAGATGACAGAATAAGAGGAGGATTTGGTTTGCCTAATTGAGAGTTGTATTACCAAGCTACAAATCTGATGTGGGTTAAGGAATGGATAACATTAAGAAATACTAGATTGTTGACATTAGAAGGACATGATATGTTGTTGGGGTGGCATGCTTTTCTATGGTATAAAGGAACTAAAACACAGGTGTATTTTAGAAGACATTATATATGGGAGTCTCTGTGGTTAAACTGGGAGAAGACTAAAAGACAATGTTATTTGAAAATTCCAGTCTGGCTATCGACTATTGAAGCATTTTCTTATCCTATAATATACAAAAAGGAACAAACAGTTAGATATGGTGAAATATTGAATGAAAAGGGTGAACTTAAATCTATGCAAAAATTAGAGGAACAAGGTATAAAGATGAATTGGTTTTCATATACGCAAATACATTCAAGGTATGATAAAGATTCTAAAACAGAAGGTTTTTATGATAAACTGACTGATTTAGATAAGATTTTGACAGGTACTTATGAAAAGGTGATTTAAAAATTGTATGGATATTTATTAGAAATTAAATTAGAAGAACAAGTTAAAGAAACAATGATTGCTTGGGGGAAGAATTTTGGATATGGGATTGATCTAGAGAAATGGCAAAAATTGTGGTCCCAAAATTATAAAATGACAATGTCAACAGCATATAAAGAAAATTTGTATAAGATGTTTTACAGGTGGCATTTCCCCCCGACAAGAATAGCAAGAATGTTCAAGAACAAATCTGAAAAATGTTGGAAATGTCATCAGATACCTGGCTCATATTACCATATGTGGTGGGCTTGTGTGGATGCTAAAAAATATTGGACTAAAATCCACACGTGGTTGGAAAAAATGACAAAAAAAGCATATAGACTTGAAACCAGAGATATTTTTATTGGGAATTTTACCTGAAATATATAGCAAAGAATTGAAATACCTGATTATAAATGTATTAACAGCGGCTAGGACTGTATTTGCCAAAAACTGGAAAAATGAGAAAATACCATTACAGGAGGAAATCATTAAGAAAATATTGGAATGTGCTGAAATGAGTAGATTGACATTTGAAATTAGAGAACAAGAAGATAAACAATTTTATAAAATTTGGGACCTTTTCTATCAATGGTTAGATAATAAAATATAATAATAGAATACTTAGAATTTTAGAAAATAATGAATATATAAAGATGTATTTCTTCTTTAGTTATTATAGCTATAAAATGTTTCTAGGATAGATTTGGGGATGATTATATGAATTGTTATAAAATAAACTAAGTAAACTATAGTTATCTCGCGAAGTATTAATGAACAAAATTATAGTCAAATGACTGATTAATAGTGATACTAGGGTATTCAATTTCTGATTGATAATATGAGTTATGCAATGTAATTGCAATTGAGACTATGAAATGGATGCACAAAAAATTTGTAAACCAACCGAAACACTGTTTGTACATTTATGAAAGAAAGTTGGATGTTTTTATGTTTTGTTTGTTTTTGTTTGTCTTTAAAAACCAATAAAAACTTGTTTAAAAAAAAAGAAAATATTGGAATGTGCTGAAATGAGTAGATTGACATTTGAAATCAGAGAACAAGATGATAAACAATTTTATAAAATTTGGGATCTATTCTATCAATGGTTAGACAATAAAACATGGTAATGAAATATGTAGATTCTTAGAAAATAATAAATATATAAAGATGTATTTTTTCTTATTATATCTATAAAATGATTGTAGGATAGATTTGAGATGATAATATGAATTGTCGTAAAACAAATTAAGTAAAATATGGATTATTTCGTAAAACATGAATGAATAAAAGTATAGTCAAATGATTAACAATGATATTAATGTATTTAATATTTGATTGAAAATATGAGTATACAATGTAATTGAAGACTACGAAATGGAAGCACAAAACAATTTGTAAACCAACCGACACACTGTATGTATATATATATGGAAAATGGCTTGATGTTTTTATGTTTTGTTTGTCTATGTTTGTCTTAAAAACCAATATATATATATATATATATATATATATTTAAAAAGAAGCAGATGGTTCTATGGTGTTATATGGATTTTGCAGTTTGTTGATATGCACTTATTTATTTATAAAAAAGGTATCCATTTAAAATTATCTAATGGCAGTGACTTAAGAATATACAGAAATGTAAGACAAATTATTTGGATGGACTTTAAATACAGAAATTTTGTATGGACAGAGTTCAAAAGGAATAGAGATCTCTGATCATTAAAAAAAAAGAAAGGAAGTTGCAAGATACTTGTGGCTTTCTAGATGTTGTCTGGCACCTTGAGAACTTTTAGTAAAATCACCTCATTAAAGCACCATTATTTGCAATAGCTTCTCCCTGTTATTGCTAACACTAATAGAGGGCTGGGATCACTACATAAATATTAGACATTGAGAAAATCTTCAACTGAATGAAGAAAAAATAGTACCTTTCTGTTACACTGCGGCTAAGTATGGCAGGAAGTTTCAGCTGCAAGGAAAAAAAATGATTGCTATGAGTTCAAGCACTGGCAACATTCTTCTGGGTTCAATACTCTACCTTAAGTTCATCAAAATATTAATATAAAATTGAAAAATTAAAACATTATATATGAATACATATATAATGTATGAATGAGTACACCAATTCATTTAGTCTAATGAGTAAACGGGAAATAACTCAGCTAAGCAAACCTAAAATTCATGCTAATACCACACTACACATAAATAGCAATCTTCAGCTATGACAAATAAAGAAGAAAAGAAAAAAGGGATCTCATATAAAATATTAGTCCGGGAATATCAACATTTAACAATCCAGGTTGATCTTACAACAAAACACTTTTGTTGAGAGTACAGACAAGTTTATTTGTATCATTTTTATCTCAATTATTTTGTTTTTCAGTTTGAAATATTAATACTGTTTCCTATGTTTGGCTTATATTTTTAGCATCTGAAAATGATATGACATTCATTTTAGAAGTATAATCAATTTAATTTCAGCGTTAAAGGCTGAAAGATCTATGAAAAAATGTTCAAACTATTTGAGATCCAAATTTGGCAGCTGACTCTGAGGTCTGTCACCACCTTTTCCCAGCCACCTTTCGCCATGCCGGTTGGGCAGGTGGAAGTCATCATATCTTAGTATAGCAGACTAGCATATTGGTAAAATAAAAGCAAAAATCACATGATATATTGCAGAAGGAAACAAATCCTGTACTGCACATTTCATCCCAGTTACAGGTTGTCCTTGACTTACGACCACAATTAAGCCCAAAATTTGTTGCTGAGAAATTTGTTAAGTGAGTTTTGCCCCATTTTATGACCTTTTTTGCCACGTTTGTTAAGTGAATCAGTACGGTGGTTAAATTAGTAACACTACTGTTTAGTGAACCTGGCTTTCCCATTGACTTTGCTTGTCAGAAGTTCACAAAAGGTGATCACATGTCCCTGGGACACTGCAACTGTAACAAATATGAACCAGTTGTCAAACATCTGAATGCAAATCACATGACCATGGGGATGCTGCAATGATTATAATCGTAAAAAATTGTCATGTCACTTTTTTCAGTGCCATGGTAACTTCAAACGGTCATTAAATGAATTGTTATAAGTTGTGGACTACCTATATACAATCCATGAACAACAATGAGCAAGAAACACATTTAAAACTTCTGAAATATTGCAGACCACACCCAAAGCAGTACTTGACAAACCTGCTTGGTAATTGGTTTTTTTAACTGTGATATGAAATGCAGACCTTTAAATAAACTAATGAACAAACCATATTTGTAACATGTTAAAAATTCATTGTCTGTTAATAAATTTCTCACTCATATTTGATTTTTTTCTACAAAAAAGTAGACATTTTACAGGCTTTCTTGACAAAAAGATAATCAGTTCATAAGCTGTTTTGTTCTTTTCCAGAGTAACTTTCACATCTCAAGCCAAAAAACTGCCTGTTCAATTATATATGCACTTGGAATTGCTCATTCTACGAATATCTAATGAATGGTTATTATAATAAAAAGTCACCCTTTTGGCAGGTAAGACCTACCGTGCTTGTTTTCTATGATTATTTTGTTTGACAGAAAGCTACTGTCTTAGAACATATTAGTAGATAATGGTGCAAAATTAAAAATTTGGAGGAAGTTATCTGTGTTTTGGAAGAAATCTCCAATGACCTGCTCAGCATTTTGCTTTGATTCTGACTGCAAATTGGCAAAAAGTATTGCCTTATTGTTCAGTTATGCTGAGCAATGTCACTAATTTGTGCCATATGCAAACATAAGTTGCCAGTTCATAAAGTATTTTGTAGTATCTGAGATTGCATAAACTTACCTTGTTTAATTTGCGAATAACTGAATATGAAGTTTCTCCTGGAGTATGTTGAAGCAATTCAGAAGAAAAGGCAGCATTTGCAATCTGCATACATTCTTCAAGAGTCTTCAGGAATGTGGCACAACTGGAGTTCAATAGTGTTCCCATATTAATTCCATGCTGCAAAATTCAAAATTTTCAAGGATTACATCATTATCCCAATAGCAAATGTTCAATATCAGGTTTCATTTTTTCCAGCTCAGATGACATATCTGCATTAAATATTTATTTATATAGCACATTAATTAACTGTTCTTCATTGGTAAATTCCAGAATAGTTTGCACTTAAATAGAGGTACAGCAATGGAAGCTGCATTTTTTTAAAAGCTAGAGTAGATTTTTTTTAGTGTTAGTTTCTAACAACTGGGAACGTATATGCTATCTAGAAATAACTGTTCAACTGAAATAAGTTTAACTGATCTGAAAGATATGAAATTTCAAAATAGAGCAATAATAAAATCCATTATTGATTTTAATTTTAAAGGTGCCTGAGGAAAAAAGTTTTCTCTTCCAGACAACAATTAATGCCAAGCAGATATTCTTAGGGAATATATTCCATATTGGAACTTGTCATAGCCAAGAAGTTATTTTTTTCAACATATATCTCTCATGAGGGTTTATAAAGAGGAAGATCTTAAACATTTTCATGTTCCACCAAAAGGATTCTAACTCTCATATTTGCCAGCTTTCCTGACACAAAAGTACCCTAAACTTAGCACTAAAGGTTCATTAAAAGCAAGAATGATTCATATTGCATTGCTGACTGCTAAAACACTTTTTTTTTTTACCAAGACCTTATTATCCAGGTAGAAGTGAGGCTTCCTGGAAAACTCAGAAGATTCTGTATCTTTAAAAATACAGCCAGTCTGAGTTGTCAGCATGTCTTTTGCCTATTTGCCTTTCCATTTAAAAGGGAGTGATAAGGCAAGACAACTCATATCAAAATTATGTGTAATGATATCTTGCATGAATTATGTGAATAAGAGGAATACACATAGCTTCTCCCTTCCAAGAGTATTTTCTCTGTAGCATTATTTCTAATCAAACACGAGATGAGATTTCTTAGTGTCCTTGTTACTTCTTTGCAATGTAACAAAAGGAGCAATTTTCGATACACTTTAGAGCAGAGGTGTCAAACCTACGGCATCACATGATGTATCATGACTTTTTCCCCCTTCGCTAAACTGGGCTTTGGAGTGGCCAACGCGTGATGCATCTGGCCCACGAGTTTGACAGCCCTGTTTTAGAGATATGTATCAAGCACTTACCAAATACCAAATTGTTTAAAATATACCCAGGTTTAAATTTCTTATTACTTCCATATTACGTGCATGTGAAAATCAACTAATTCACCTGTAGACAGAGTTCATGGTGATCTGAACACTGTGACTCAGAAGAGCCAGATCAAATCTGCTTTCGGAAGGCCTGAATTCTATTTCAAAGCCAAATATTGATTGCTGTATGGAAGCCACAATGAAATTTCTATCAAATAACTTAGTAAGAGCAGAAGAAAGGCCTGATTCTAGAGCAAAGATTACAATGACATAATCAGAATAAAACAATTCTTCTTGCAAACTGCCTCTATAAGATACTTGTCACTGAAGTCCTTTACAAACATCTCAATTCTAATACTTCTGACAAAAGGGAGTTCTTTTTTGAGACATATTACCTGAACGTGTGAAGTTGTAGTAATTGCTTTAATTTTTTCCACTTGCTGAACCAGGAGGTCACAATATAATCTAAGTTCTGCCATTTTTGTTTTCAACATTTCAGTATTTTCTGTAAATTCTAAATTAAATTAGAAAAATCAGTCTTGTTAACATTTTATTTAATCAAAGGCATCTCCAATGGCTTCTCAACAAATAAACATTATTCCAAAGAATATTGTATTTAGAAAAGTGACCATATAATTATTCCTTAAATTCTGGAAGGCAGCATAAAAGAAAACCATGAAATGAAAATTTGATATAAACTAATGCAGTATATTAATTTTTGACACTAAAATAATATGCAAAGTTTCAAATTAGAAAACGTTGTCTTTAAGAATATACTGTATAATATATTCTTGTATAACAAAACAAGGATAGCTTTTTAGATCTTGTTTTAATGATAGATTTTAATAGGTTATAACTTTTCACTTGGTGGAAATTAGAAGTAATACTTGAGTAAATGCAATTTTTTATTAAAACACCTTTTTCTTACATTATACATTACAATAATACTTTTAATTAGCTGATAGGACTTATAAAAGAAGGAATTCATTGTTGTACAGTTGTTAGATTGTCAAGTGTTCAGGAGACATCCATACTTAAATCCCTATTCATCATAAAGATTCCCAGGAATAGAAAATCAGAGAGACAATTTTGAAAGAAATAAAACAAAGCCTGTTCAAGAAAGCTTTTGTGCAGCAAGTAATTCAAAGACTGGAAATGTACATAAATAGAAAATGTTCCCTTGAGGGAAGCTGAGAAATACTACATTAAGTTGATCCCTATATGAGAATCGCTTGCCTTTTTCTTTTAATGTCCGAATATCTGTCAAACAAGCCTTGGCAGTTCCCAGGGCAACCAACCATTTTTGTCTTTCAGCTGTATCTTTAGCTTTGAGATAAAAACACTGTTCTCCAGGAATCATCAAATCCATGCGTGTATTATCTGTAGAATGAACTAATATCAACAGAGTTAGGTGGGAGATGAGACTCTCAATCAACATTTTCTACAGTCTAACATGTAGATTGACTAACTTGATCCAGACACAATCGGTCTGATTATATGCAGCCTTTTTCTTCCTTTCTTCTTTTTTTAAAAAAAAAGAAAAAAGAAAACTCCTGGAATTACTAATCGCAGTTCTTTTTTACAACCAAATTTATGGATGGGAAAAACAGAAAAAAAATCCGAATCATAGATCCGAATCACAATGCACCAGGAATGAATAAGTGAGGTGTTGCACACTATCTTAAGACTTGTGAAACATATTTTGCATTAATAAATCAAAATATGCATATCATATTAATGATTTCCACCTTGTCACAAAAATTCTTGTTTACCTGATATTACAGTTTTCTTTTAATTTAATTTCTTCAGTGAAGTTAATTTTGGGTTTCATCTCAGTTTAAAAACTAAGTTAATCAATTACTGTCCCTGTTGGTTAACTGATATTAATGTAAAGGTCTTCTTTTTCAGATATAACAGGAAATAAAACAAATATTATGATTTTTAATGCCAAAGAGGAAGAGAAAAAGACCCAGAACATATTTGGAAAAGCATGAGTCTATGGCACTTAATCACAGATTCCTATACTTGGCTTGTGAAGCTACAGATGAGTTTCTAAACAAAGTCATTGAATATAATAAGCAAGAAGATATACTTTGTGGATCTTGTCTCTTTACCTTGAATTTCACAAACTGCCATCTGAATGCTCCCCTTACAGCCTTTCCAAGCATCTTCCCGTGAGTCATAATAGGATAACACACCTCCTGCAAGAAGGAACCATCGAGGTTGCCAGCCTGGAAAGAAATAAAGCAGTGTTTTAAAATCATAACTGGAAAAATGTATATTTTATTGCAGGTCAAAGAATAATCCCAAACTTGCTCCATAGTTAATGAGTTTGCCCTAGCAAATACTGTACGTTCTACATAATGTATACATCAAATCAGCAGTTAACTTCATTTAAGCAAGCTGACTAAGGAATTCTAGGAGTTGAAGTCCTCGCATCTTGAAGTTGCCAAAATTGAAAAACAGTGATTTAGAAGCAGTTGGTTCAAAGGCCATTTTGCTCAAAAGACTACAAAGCAATTAATAGAACAATATTGTTTTTATGTTCTTGCAGCTTAGGTATCCAATCTATAGGCTAAGAAAGATTGCAATTTTTCAAGATTTTTGTGAATCAACCAGTCCCTTTCTTAGCTGTCATTAATTTTTATTTAAAATATAAAATTAAATGAAATGGTTTGTAGGTTAGAAAAGATTAACATGAAAGGGGAATCTGTGTACTTAACTACTGAAGGGAACTTTACTCTTCTTAAAATTCCATACCAAATTAGCTTTTATCCTACTTTTATGTTAATTATGATATACTCTATGACACCCACAGGTAAATGCATCTCCTTTATAACAACTCCTGCCAAGTCCATTCTACACATGGATTTGCATACCATCAGATCTGCAAAGCTATTATACAAGAATCATCTGTGAGAAACAGATACCTTGTACGTATCTGCTCAAAAATTCAGTTTGCACTGGTTTCATTGAAGCTGTCTTTCAAATTAATCAGTATTAGTCAGTAAAGGGAATTCTAAGAATTGAAATCCTGCTCAACTAGATAGCTCGGAATTAAATAAACCCAGAGTCTAGCAATCTAACTTACTCTTGCTTGGAGCAATGTACCAATATACATCCATTAAAACCATAGATACATGCAGTATTCCTACACCCCCCACACACTCCCAGATTAATGACTTGATGTTCCATCTAATATTAAAAACATAAACTGTGTTCTATTACTCAATGGAAGTAGATAGATATCGTGAACTTCTGATGGAGGGTTGAGTGGGAAGAGAAAGAATTTACTTACTCAAGAAAAGTTGTTTACTGGGAATGTTATGAATGTGAGAGCAAAAAAGAAAAAGAGGAATCATAGAAGAGGAATCATAAGAAATAATTAGAAAACAAAATGAGATAATACTAGAGCCTAGACAGAAATAATTAACCAATATTGTAATTTCTCTTCTTTGTATTAAGGCAGCTGATATTTAACCTATATGCAAAAAAGCAACTTTAGATCTCAAGAGAGCAGAAATTATCATGTAAATAATGCATGGAATTCAGTAGATATAATATAATGTAATCATTGGGTTGCTGATTATCATAAATAATGCTGTTATGATTATATGCTAATTATGCTAATGTGATCACAAATCGTGCTCTAATTCCAACACAAGAACTGTTCTTTCTACATGAACTGCATTTATAGTTTAGGTGGCATGTTTATGTGTGAGACCATCTGGGTGATCATTCTGTGATGCTATTATCATATCTTGCACCATGGCATAAAGACAGAAGGAAGAAGAAATGAAGCATTTCTTCGTATTTCAGCTATGGGGTCTTGAATAAAACAAAATCACAAGTTTAAGTGTTACAAATGTTAATGTAACAGAAAGCATAATTTATAAATGCAAGCATACAAAGAGAGTAATTAAAACTTACCAGCGACTTTTTAAATCATTTAATTTTAATATAAAATATAAAATATTTAATATTAATTTTGTATATAAAATATAACATTTTAATGGCAAAGAATGAAGTTTATTCATTTTTAAAAAACCCCTGAATTATGTTATTTTTGCTAGAAAATTCTACGAAGTATATTTTTAGAGAAAACTTTTCTAGATTTTTCCAAGGTAACTGAAATTTAATAAAAACTTAATTAAGACTTATTCCATATGAAAGAGATTTTCTCCATTATGATCCATCCCTAGCTTGGTCTTTGTTGTGTAGCCGGCGGACACACGAGGCAGACACGGGACTGAAGGCTAACATTGCTTTATTCGTAGCATAACGGGTTGCCGCGGCTGCCCAGGCTGGGTTGGCAGCCCAGCTGGCGACAACAGCTGATGCCGTTTGACAGCTCCTTTTATAGCAGCTGTCAAACGGCATCAACCAATGGGAGTGATTGGCGCTCCCGCCAGAAATGCGGACCAGACTGGGGACTGTAGTTAGTAAGGGACACAACACCCCTTCCCCCTGGCTAGGGACATGGGCAGACCTGCAAATAGGCCCCAGTCCCAGGGGATCCCCAGCTGGGGTAGAGTCCTTTGCCCCCGGGATCATCCGGGCAGCTGCAGGGGTGCAAAAGTCCGATCAGCAGGAACTTGCGGTGGTCCAGGTAGGTTTTCCCGTTTGGTTCACTTCGGGTATTTTGTACGGCTGGAGTAGTAGACCGGGCCGTTTGGTCGGGAGCCCATGCGTTTTGTCGGTAGACCGGCTCTAGGCGTTGGCTGAGTAGACAGGGCCCTTTTGCGTTTGTCGGATAGGCTGAATCTGCTTTGTTTGCTGGGTAGATCGGCTCCTCGAGGTTTGACAGGTAGACCGGGCCCTTTTGCTGGGGATCGTTGTCGACGGCTGCTGGGTAGACCAGCCTCTTGGGGTTTGACAGGTAGACCGGGCCGCTTGGCTGGGTAGGCTGGCTCGTCTTGGTGTTCAGCATATGGATCAGCTCTCAGGGGTAGACCAGCTTGTCTCGGCCTTCGGCGGATAGATCGGCTCTCGGGGGTAGACCGGCTCGTCTCGGCCTTCGGCGGATAGATCGGCTCTCGGGGGGGTAGACCGGCTCGTCTCGGCCTTCGGCGGATAGATTGGTTCTCGGGGGGTAGACCGGCTCGTCTCGGCGGCTTTTGGAATAGCGGCAGTACTGCCTGTGGGCGGCGTTCGTCTCCTCAGCGAGGGAGGCTTTGAACTTCGCGCTCTCGGTAGCGCCAGTGGCAGTGCCTGGCGGGGGGCGTTTTTCTCCTCAGCAATGGAGGCTTTGAGCTTCGTGCTCTCGGTAGCGCCAGCGGCAGTGCCTGGCGGGCGGCGTTTTTTTCCTCCTCAGCGAGGGAGGTTTTTTCAAAAACTTCGTGCACACAGAGGTCGTCTGTGGCTCGTGACTTTCAGCTCTCAGCGGCTTCGGCTCTTTTTAATAGTGACTTGCTCGGCTGTTTCAGTCCGGTTGCCTCTCATTTGTGCATCCCACCTTCGTCGCCAGTGTTGTGTAGCCGGTGGACACACGAGGCAGACACGGGACTGAAGGCTAACATTGCTTTATTCGTAGCATAACGGGTTGCCGCAGCTGCCCAGGCTGGGTTGGCAGCCCAGCTGGCGACAACAGCTGATGCCGTTTGACAGCTCCTTTTATAGCAGCTGTCAAACGGCATCAACCAATGGGAGTGATTGGCGCTCCCGCCAGAAATGCGGACCAGACTGGGGACTGTAGTTAGTCAGGGACACAACAGTCTTTGTCTTCCAATGGTGTGCTCATTTCCATTGTAATTGAATCTATCCACTTTTTGCTTGTTGTTCTATTCTTCTCTTTCCTTCCATCCCTCATCATTAGAGCCTTCTTCAGAGAGCTAGGACTTCACATAACATATTCAAATTGAATAATTTGAGCTTGGTCATTTGTGCTGGGATTCTGGATTGATTTGTTTGATGATCCATTTGTTTGTTTACTTGGCTTAAACATAGTGTTCTCAAGAGCCCTCTCCAGCATTAAATTTCAAAAGCCTTATTCCTCTTCTTCAAAGTCCAAATTTCACTTCCATAGAGTGTCGCTGGGAACACTATGGCTCCTGAGTCTTTCTGATCTTTGTAGGTATCATGGCATTTGAATATCTTTTCCAAGGCCTTCATGGTTGTTCTATCACATGCTAGTCCACAGTGCATATCTGGACTGCTGGTTCCTTTACTATTGATGGATATCCTAATAAGCAGAAGCTAGACACTACTTCAATATCCTATCAATTAGAAATACAAACACACATACACACACACTTGACATGAAAAAGACCATTCAGACCATTTTATGAACAATCTTAAGACAATAAATCAAAACATGAGAAAAAATGTTCCATCAAGTGCTAATGTTGCAGGATCGAACAGCTTTATAACAAGCAATCATAAAAGAAGAGAACTAGCATAATAAGAATGCAGTTTATATTCTGAATACAAAAGAAAATAATCTCAACTATACTATTTCTAATGAATGCATGTCTAATATACATACACATATACATACACAAACATACAAGCACACACAGGGGTGGGATTCTACCAGTTCGCACCTATTCTCTAGAACCAGTTGTTAACATTCTAAGCAGTTTGGAGAACCGGTTGTTAGAAGAAATTGCTGGCCTCATCTTGTAAGAAAGGCAGGAAGGAAACATTCTGGTGTTGCTTACAGAAACTGCCTCTCCCTTAACCCTTATTACATTCTTGGCAGGACTAGACTTCCTGTCTCAGGAACTTCCCTGGAGTTTTTTTCCTCTCCTTTGCTGATACTTTGCTTGTGTGGAGTGACCATTCAAAGTTACAATGGCACTGAAAAAGTGACTTATGACCATTTTTCACACTTACGACTGTTGCAGCATCCCTACAGTCATGAGAGGCCAGGTGAGGAGATGCGTGCCTCAATGTGAGTGATATTTAGTTGGCCACGCCCAGCCAATAACATGACCACCAAGCCATGCATAGCAACTAAGCAACACAGACTCGGTTGTTAAAAATTTTGAATCCCATCACTGGAAGCACACATAGTAGAGGCATCCACAAGATTCAGTACTTCAATAAAAAATATTGAAAGCAGTCATGACCAGTGTCAGTGTCACTCTTTCCTCCATGCATACAATGTGAAGACACATGTAGAAAAGGAATTTATGTTATGTAAGTTGATTTTGGCATTTGGCTCCTTTAACCTGCCTTGGAAATGGTTCTGTTCTTATCTCTCTTGGAGAAAAGAACCTTACAATCATAT